AAAATGGAATAAGCGGGTAAAGATAATGGATGGATTGTTTGAGGCCAACAAAAAGTGTAACTTCTTTTGACGTCTATGTACTGGAATTTGCAGCAATTTCTGTTTTCTTTTTATTTATCTACAAACACTGTCTGAGAGCCACGTTACAATTTAATGGATCTGTCCATGCCTGTAGTCTAAAGCCACATCTTTACCACTAATCACCTGCTGTGTGGTGTCAGGCCCTCATGCTGTTTAGGTACGTTGTCCTGCAATTGCGGCTACAAATGAAAGCACGGCGCAGAGAAACTTCCTGCTGCAAACCTTCTTATTTCATTCCAACGATTTTTTAATTAATAGAGCTGCTGAAATGAGCCCACTGAATAATTTTTCCTTCATATTCGAACTGAATCTTGAAGGGAACATGTTAAAACAGCACGCTTCCTTCTAAAATTCCGTCTTGGATAAAGACTTTTTATTTAATTTGCCAAGTCCAACATATGCTGGATGGGAAAAGGCCACAAAGTTAATAACTGTGAGAACTTCTTTCAAACATTAGATGTTTTCATGTGTTGTACACTGAATATTTAAATATAGATAATGCTCAATATTGGATTTTTGGCCGATATCCGATATGCAGATATGTTAAAATTGATTTGGCCAATAACCGATACTGATATTTTTATATACGTTCCTTTGTCAGAACATATTCCACTTATTTCGGCTTATTTGCTACAAAAATTGTGTAACAGCTGTAAGAGCTGGTGACATATATTCAGTAACAGCCATGATATACATAGCACTTTAACTTATATTAAATGAAATGTGTTAAATGTTATTTATTAGCATTAGTCACCTGCGATGCTGTCTCACTTGTGGAGGCTTGTTCCAGGTTCAGCTGCAGTGTGGTCTATCCATTGTGCTGTAAGACTAATCATGCTAACGGGGCTAACACTTGAGTCCAAACGTCTGTGGGAAAACTCACCCAACAAGTCGTGCTATCGGCTATTAGCTTCTCAATGATGTCGGAAATGACGGCTTGTAACTGGGGTAAGGCTGCGTCGGAAAAATCTTCAGAATCCAACATCCTCAACGAAAAAAAACCTTCCACACCGCGCCAACATTTTGACTTTTTCCTGTCCGCCATGATCAGATCAGGTAGGCGCTCGAGACGTCATCACGTTGTGCTGCCGCTGCAGGCATCCTTGTCACTGGGTTGTCGTACAAAACCAGCATCTTTTTTATCAGTGAGTTATTTTGATGGAATGGCCGATGTCCGATATTTAACTTTAACGCTAATATCAGCCGATACCATGCCGATAATATTGTGCATCCCTAATAATAAATATATTTCAGTTGATTTTATGGTTTTTATACTTGCTTGTATGTTAGTGTACAGCACTTTGGCCAACAGTGTTGTTTTTAAAGTGCTTCATAAATAAAGTTGTATTGTATTGCATATAGGTGTAAAAACTGTCAGGATGTAATTAATGCAGCTGAAACGCACTGATGCTGGTGAGGAAAAGAGCTGAGGAGTTAACCAGTGACCTCAGGCAGAAACATCAGTAAATGTCTGTGTACACAGGAATAAAATGCAGAGTGAGGCTGTTTCTATAAGGTTCTGCAACAGAACTTTACACATTAAGTTGCTAAACAATGCTGTTATTATTTTGCAAAGTTTGGTCATCTAGAACACATGGATCTGAGAGTAAAGTAGTTTTGATTACTGAAAAAAAGAAGTTTGTCTTACTTCTATTAAGGCTAAGAAATATTCATCCCCAGTCAGAGAAAGTCATCCTGTTAGTAAATGACTGTGCTGCAGAATGAATCACTGTGTGTGTGTAGGTGTGTGTGTAGGTGTGTGTGTTGTGTGTAGCCAAATATAGCTACAGAAAATGCCTGGTTCATTCCCAAGTGTACATAAAAAAAGCCCTGATTCATGTTAAATGTTATTTACAGCGTTTTGCCTC